CTCGCCCTCCCTCGCCTTCCGCCGCCTCCGCACAGATCCGCACCCCCGGGCTGCCCGAGGAAACCCTCACCTGACGGCAGCCGCCACCTCCGCACAGCCCCGCACCCCCGGGGTGAGCTGAGCTGATTAGCCGGCTGAGGTCCAATCTCCCCAGAAACCTCTGCCCTGACACCGGAGTCTCTTAAAACAGTTTCTGACCTCTTTTGGCACGTTTTCTGCTCTCCCCCCTGTCGTGGTTTAACCCCAGCCAGCCATTAGGCACCACGCAGCCGCTCACTCGCTCCCCCCCCTCCAGTGGCAGAAAATCGGGAAAAGAAGTAAAACTCGTGGGTTGAGATAAGAACGGTTTCATAGAACAGAAAAGAAGAAACTAATAATGATAATGATAACACTAATAAAATGACAACAGCAATAATAAAAGGACTGGAATGTACAAATTACGCACAGTGCAATTGCTCACCACTCACCGATCGACACCCAGTTAGTCCCCAAGAGGTGATCCCCTGCCCCCACTGCCCCCAGTTTATACACTAGATGTGCCGTCCCATGGTATGGCATACCCCGTTGGCCAGTTTGGGTCAGCTGCCCTGGCTCTGTCCTGTGCCAACTTCTTGTGCCCCTCCAGCTTTCTCGCTGGCTGGGCTTGAGAAGCTGAAAAATCCTTGACTTTAGACTAAACACTACTTAGCAACAACTGAAAACATCAGTGTTATCAACATTCTTTGCATACTGAACGCAAAACATAGCACCATACCAGCTACTAGGAAGACAATTAACTCTATCCCAGCTGAAACCAGGACACTCCCTCATTGCTGGGGAGCTGTGACATCTGCCTCCACCTGTGGAAGTCCCACCCAGCAGTCCCACCATAGCTCTATACCCTCCCCTTCCTGAAAATTGTTGCTTCCCATTTTTGGGGGAACCTAATTTCCCCTTGAGCCAAGGGTACTGGAGGTCCTGTCCACACGGAGTCCATGGCTACTGACCCCATTGCCACTGAAGCTATCATCATCTTTGCTGTTGTTATTGATACTGCCAGTATTCTGAAAGAAGTTTGGCTGAGTCCTTGGCTGAGTCTTCCTGAAAACCCAAACCCCACTACTTAGATGTTTGTGTGAGACAGACACCTCTGCCTCCAGTCTAAACCTCACTTTCCCTCTCCGTGTCTATTCCCAGGCACCGTGGTACCTAGGGAAAAGCTCATCTTACCTGAGAAGCTGCCATGATGCATCCCAGCACCAGAAGATGGAGTCAGGAACGTAACACAAATTTGCTCCTCCGTTGCTCTTTCCTCGGATTGGGGTACCTGTGCCCTTCATGTTAGCGCTCTACAGGATGCTGAACCTGAGGCTGGATTTACAAGAAACAGCCAGATCCTGCCACCTCAGCCCCGTCTGAGCCAAGCCCTGATATATCCCCACTG